AGAGAGAGAGAGAGAGAGAGAGAGNGNGAGAGAGAGAGAGGGAGAGGGAAATGAAATCAATAAAATTTTTCCAGAAAATAGATTCCTTCAAAAAGGTTTAACGGTAAACTGTTAAAATTGCTAAATGGACAAATATACGAGTGGAAAAAGGTAAGAGAGAGCATAGGAAAGATGGAGGTGATGCATTGGCTTGCAGATGGAGCCTAGCAAACTTTATCCTGTGATTTGGCCCTAACATTCCTTCTGATTTCATGTGCAAACTTTTGCAGTTATCGTTTCCAAATTGTCACTATGAGTCATTGAATAGATGAACTTTAACAGTTCCAACTTTTCAAGTACCTCAATGTACACCAGTAGTATTTCGTACTTCCATTATTGGTGGGTCAGTACGAAATGAGAACATTCCCGATATTTACCAAAAAATGATATCTTTTTTCGGTTGAATATATTTGAAATTCTATAAATCGAACAATTGCGTATCATAAAATGAGATAGACAGTAGTACTTCTTAGTAGTACAGTAGTACTGTTCATATCATTCATCTTGATAAGAGCGGAATTGATGCCATCTTAATTGGTTCTGCCCGCAAATCCCTCCAAACTACATACCAGTTTCTTATGAAAATTGAAGTGTTACACGATTTGTTTGTATAACAAAATTTAGTTACTGTGGGAAATAAGTGATTCTACAGCTAGGGCCAAGCAAAATAAAGAGGAATTCTGGAAATTCCCCTGAAATAATTAACATGACTAATCATATCAGTCTACCAGTAGTACGACATGCATCTGATATGTTCATGGATGTTCGTTGATGGGAATTCTCATAACCTGATGTTTACTTTCTGTTATTACCTTGAAAGGTCATCGTTATAGTATTGTCCGACAAATCAGTGATTTTGTTGTTATCTTCCGTGCAGCTTTTGATAACGTATTGCAAACCGTATATGATCACAAATGTGGCATTTCATATAAATAGGAAAGGCGTTTGATTGTTCAGTAATGCGAATATTTTGAATAATAAAAATGAGACAGTATAAAATGTAATAGTTAAAATGATAAATTAAATTTCCATATGGGACTTTGTCGTTCACATCCGGAACTGATATTGTGGCAAAGGTTGAAACATTTGAAATTGAAAAAAAATTATGTCAAAAAATATCAGGGAAGAGATAGGAATCTAATTACTTTCTCATGATTAGCCAAAAGGATATGAGAGGAAAGTATTTTATTCAGTATGAATTGTTAGATTTCAAACTGTTTCCTTACTCCTTTCAAAAGAATAAC